AAGGGAAAGGGGGGTCGGTGGTAGAGTGGGAGCGAGTGGGAGTGTGATGGGGGTTTGGTTGTGTGTGTGGGATGGCAGAGTGTGGCTCCCCTCCCCTCGCTCCCTCGCTCAAGCGAGCGGGGAGGAGGCGGCGAGTGTGGCGGGCGTGATCCTAGAGGTTCTGTCGGAGGGGCGCTCGTTAAGAGATGTTTCCCCCGTGCTGATGCCGTTGCGCGTGGGCGAGGAGGGCAACGTGCAGGCAGCCCGCACGCGGCGACGCACACTCGACAACACAAAGACAAAGGCCCCCCCACCCCTCCGCGTACAATCTTCAATAGATTGATGGGAAAAGTGCTGTTGGCGAGCGCAAGCACTGACGAAGGCCGGAGCGGCACACGAGCGAGCGGGGTGGGTGGTTAGCACCACGCACGCTCGGCCATCTTTGTCTTCCCGGTGGCGATGTTCACATCCCGCATCAGGTACAGTACTCATTCGAGGCACAAAGACAAAGATCCCCCGCATAGCCTGAACAGAACTGTCGGGGTAAGCGCTGTTAATGGGCACCTATGAAGGGCCGGCACGGCACACGAGAGGATGGTGTGGCCAGGAACACGCCCGACCGCCTTTGTCTCCCTAGTGGCGATGTTTATACAACCTCGACCTAGGGGAGGCCCAAGACCGGTTCAGATAATCGTCACCGACGGTGTTGGCCGTGAGCGGGAATCTAACTCGGGTCACCGGGTTCGTAGCGCTAACCGCTACACTACCGCTCCCCACACATGCACACACGTCCCCGCATTTTAAGCTCACACCTGCCCCCCTTCCGTGGGCTGTAAATGCGTTTTATCTACACAGAATTCATAACACAACAACGAGGGCTCACGAGGACCCCCGCAATGCGGAGTAAACACGAGCGCGGGCAGCATCCGTCCATGCTGTCTGTCACCTTTCGTGTCGCACTCCCAACGGGAGGCGAATTACTCGGTCAGCTAAAGTTGGGGAGGGGTCACCTGCGTGTTAAAGGCGTTTAAAACACAAGGCTTCAAAAATCGATGTTTTCTGTTGGCGCAGGTTTTAAATGGTGGTGTAACGTATGCAATGCATGCACGCTGAACTTCTTTTGCACCGTACGTAGCCAACCGCGATAAAGCGTTGTGCAAAGCGTTAAATCGCTCCTCTGGCCCCTCTTTGTGAAACGTAATGAGAATTTACATCACTCGCTTGGTCATTCGCAATTACGAATGAGTGCGACACACCGAAAAGAACATTAAACAAAGTAGCTCGCACATATTGGATTCATTCCATTTTATATATATAGACACACACACACGTTACGTATAAACCATACGGTCCATACACCGGACACGTATGGAACACATTCGTACACCGAACGTACAAACATGCGATCTGTACCTTGCACACGCAATGGACGCACGCATTTTTTTCCCTCCTCACATAAGACAGGATTACCATTAAGTCTAGACTGGTGATGCAGATAAGTAATGGTTTATGTGTATAATTAAACGTACGTCATCTGCCACGCACGCATTTGCAACACCTGCCGATGTGCCTGTGTGCACAGTAACCTACAGGTACTTGTGTACACGCTTCAAATACAATTACGTAATTCGCGGGGTTAATCCACCACCGTCGTAATGATCCGGCCAAGTTGTCCTGTATTTTAAAACCCTTCACCGCCCAACTCGGCCAAACAAATATAATTGTCATGCGGTGCACGGGCGTTCAACGTGTCACTTATCCATTGTACCTTGCTCACTCACCGCCGATTTGAAATTGTACCGGACACGGACATGACAAAGAACCCCCGTTTAGGCTTTTGGGGCAAGTACTGTTAACGAGTAGTGCCTATGAAGGCCGGCACAGCACACGAGGGGTGGGGTTGGTCAGCAACACGCCCGGCCGCCTTTGTTTCCCCCAATGTTTACTACACACCACACCAGGTACTCATTTGAGGCTGAGTCGACCTCGGGGGAGACCCAGGACCGGTGAAAATAATCGTCACCGGTGTCGGTGGCCGCGAGCGGGAATCAAAACTCGGGTCGCTGGGCTTGCAGCGCAGCGCGATAACCACTACGCCACCATAGACAAAGATAAAGATCCCCCGTGTAGCCTTAACAGACTGTAGGGGCAAGTGCTGTTAGCGAGCACCTATGAAGGCCGGAACGGTACACGAGGGGGTGGGTGGCCAGCACCACGCCCGACCGCCTTAGTCTCCCCAGTGGCAATGTTTTTATCCACTGCACCAGGTACTCATTTGAGGCTGACTCGACCTAGGGGAGGCCCAGGACCGGTTCAGATAATCGTCACTGGTGTTGGCCGTGAGCGGGAATCGAACCCGGGTCGCCAGGTTCATAGTGCAGCGCGCTAACCGCTACACTACCGCTCCCCATCATAGAGTACACACACACAAGCGATTCTCAATTACACACGCCACACAGTACTTTTGTACTGAGGCATCAAGTTTTAAAGTTATAAACTCCGATTTGGACACTTGTGACACGACACCGATAGCACCAGCAGAGTAAAGTTGGGGAAAAAAGACGCTTGCTGTAAAATGTTCGAAGGAGGCGGTGAGCGATGTCACTTTGACTCGTCGCTCTCGCAAAGTCAGCCCAACGGTCGCCCAGCTCGGCACGCAAGCGAACGAGCGAGCAAGCGAACGGGCGATTGATCGATCAGGCCAGCATGCAAATGAGCGAGTGTGCGAATGTACGTACGGGTGAGCAGGCAGGGAGGCGAGCGGGCGGACAGGCGAGCGCTATTCGCAGAGGACGCCACATGCCTCACAACCGCACTCCCCACGCCACCAGCCGATTAAACCGCTCGTTATTGTGCCTCTGTACAACTCATGAAGCCTCCTTCCGTGTCAGAGGGAGAGCCGGCGTGGTGGCCCAAGCGAGCACCGTCTCGCGACGTCTCAAACCCTCCATGCCGACGAGAGGCGATCGTTACTGTAGGCGAGAACCTTCCCTGACCGAGTCGTCGCCGAGAGGGGCGACAGCCATGAGGAAGAGAGAAAGGGAGCAGCGGGGGGGGGGGACGGGGAGGGGGGTGGTGGGGGGGCTGGGGGGAACCGCACCGCCGAGAAGTTCCGAAGCACTGAGCCCACGCGGCACGGCGGAGCGGCACGGCGGGGCGGCACGGCGGAGCGGCACGGGTTCAGCTACGAGCGAGCATATGACAAGCACCGCTCCCAACGCCGGCAAAACTCCTCTTCATCACCGCCATCACCATCTATCCAAAGATCGTCATCCGTGCCTTGACCCCCAACGGTTGTGGGGTGGGGGGGAGGGCCTTGCGCCAAGGCGATTAATTAAAACGAGCGAATAAGCAGTAGACTGCTTCGGCGCTGTGTGGGTGTTGTCGCGCGAGGTCAGGTGTCGATTTTTCTTTTTATTTTCCGCAGGTTTCCGTGGGCAAATACTTTTTTTTTAAGTCGGCATAACTCTGCCCTTGACAGCTGCACCTTTTGGGATGTCGTTGCGCTCTCGTTCGTTGTTGCCGTTTGTTGTCGCAGTTGGCGATTTTAAAAACAAATGATTGTTGTTATTTTTGTTCCGTCGATCAAAAGGGGTGGGGGGACCTGCCCATATGCCCACGTCACCGCCATTGTTTTGTTGTTGTTACATTTAAATAACAAACCACGCCAATTAATTACAACAAAACATACAAATTAAAAACAAATCTATACGTTTGACGAAGCTTATTCTTGGCAGGTGCTTCAACTCTCCAACGTACATTTACGCTTGTGCGTAGACGAGGGGGACGAGTGGACCGTGAGGGTGGCGTGAGTGGGGTGGAAAGTGAGCAGTGGGATGTGTGTGTGGTGAGTGCACGTCAAGTGTGGGATGTGTGTGTGGTGAGTGCACGTCAAGTGTGGGATGTGTGTGTGGTGAGTGCACTGCAGGTGTGGGATGTGTGTGTGGTGAGTGCACGTCAAGTGTGGGATGTGTGTGGTGAGTGCACGTCAAGTGTGGGATGTGTGTGTGGTGAGTGCACGTCAAGTGTGGGATGTGTGTGTGGTGAGTGCACGTCAAGTGTGGGATGTGTGTGTGGTGAGTGCACGTCAAGTGTGGGATGTGTGTGTGGTGAGTGCACGTCAAGTGTGGGTTGTGTGTGTGGTGAGTGCACGTCAAGTGTGGGATGTGTGTGTGTGCGCTCTGAGTGTGGTTGCAGTGTGCGGTGTCACTGATGAATGCATGTGCGGATGTGTGTGTGATGAGCACGTCTGTGTGTGCGTGCGAGTTAGTGGCTAAGGCCTACTGAGCTGTATAGCTCTTTTTCGGAAGTGACCTGGCCACAAACGAAAGCTCAACGAAGTGGCTTTATCATTTGGACATTTATAGCAGCCAAATGCTCTAAATGCATGATTCTAAGTTTAAAGGGAAAAACCGGAGAACCCGGAGAAAAATCCACACGACCACGGGGATAACACGCAGACTCCAAATATGCAGGCATCAACGTTGGGATCGAACCCACGACCTCCTGTATACCAGTCGAGGTAGATAACACCTCGCCGCAGTGGCGAGTGTGTGCAGTGTGGCCGGTGAGTACGTGGGCAGCGTATTTCGCGTGATCGGCGAGTATGCGTGGTGGATGAGTGGCGAGTGTGCGGTGGGCGAGTTTGTCATGAGTGGAATGCGTGCGTGTGGTGCGTGTGGTGCGTGTCGTGCGTGTGCGCGGTGAGTTTCTGAGTGCGGTGCGTTAGGGCGAACACGTATTTGCGTGTTGAATGTGGCAGGCGAGTAGTGATCCGTCTGTGTGTGGTGGGGGACAAGTGGTGAGCCTGTGGTGAGCAGGGTGAGTGTGTGGAGAGTGCGTTGTACATACGGTGGTGAGTGTGTGATTCACGCGGGGAGCAAGTTGTTAGCGTTTGAGAGCGTGTGGCGAGTGTGGTGAGAGTGTGGCGAGCGTGTGGTGTGAGTACGGTGAGTGTATGTTGTGGGTGTGCTGAGTGTGTGGTGAGCATGTGGTGTGACTGCACCGCGCGTGCCTCTCACCTCGGGTGCGCTCCGCTTGAATTCCCGGCTCTGTTCTATGAGCCGCTTTCGGGACTGTTCGCTCGCCTCTTGCCGATTGGCCAGTTCCGTTGCCGTGGCGCTAAGTTCTCTCTGTCAGAGGAGGCGGGGATAGAGGGGGGAAAGGAGGGCGTGGGATGGGATGGCACAACAGGTCCATCATCATCATGGGCCACCATCGTCGCGCAGGTCCTTCACCGTCGGCAAAAATCGTCCCGTATCTCTCTCGCTCTCCTCGACGGCGGCCGAACACGGCCATCGCGATGCCCGCGCGACTAAGGTGGGAGGCGATTGTAACCGGAGTCCGGCGCAAGCGTTCCGACTATGTCGCGCGGTAGCAAATTTTAACTTCAAAGCGGGGCGGGGGGGGGGCAGCATCACTGGCTTGAAAGCCACACAACTCCACGCAAACAATAAACCGCTCTGCAGCAATAATAGTGCGGCCAAAGTCATCGGGCAGCCCCTGTGGCGGCAGCGGCTCTCTTGCGCGCGCGTACTCACAAAGCACATTTTCTCAAACTTTCTTTACCCCTCCCGTTTTATTAGCTTATTATTTAAATAATCCTCCACACGTTTTACACGAGCTCTGCCCGGGCGAGATGGCGGCGGCAGCGGCGGCAGCGGCGGCAGCAGCATTCCCTTCGGAATCTCTTCCCCATCCCCACGACCGCCACCCCCGCCGGCCCCCCTACCCCCAACTACCCGGCACCACCCCCCCCGCCCCCGCGCCCCTGCCCGCGCAACAACCGACGACCCCGATGGGGGGGCAGGGCAGGGGGGGGGTCTCTCTAGGCACCGACACGGACGACGCCGCGAAAAACGTTCGGGGTGCGAAGGAACGCCACGACATACCAGGACGCGCTGCAGATTTAGCGCGGCAAAACCATAAATGGTTACCGAACGGGACAGGAAAGCATTTTTGAGAGCGTCGGGGTTGAAAGAGAGCAGCGGGAGTAATAAAATGCTCGGGGGGCGGTTGGGGAGGAGGAGAAGGATGGGGAGGAGGAGGGGCAGCCGTTTTGGGGTGAAGGGTGGGAGAGGAGGAGGAGGTCGTAAGGGGCGGCACACATGGGGAGGAGGGGGCAGTAGGAAGGGAGGGAGGTAGGGTTAACCGGTGACTTGTGACGGAGAATTTGGCGTAGGAGGAATTTACAGCATTAACAAGGAGGAGGAAGCAACTCGAGCGGAGATCATCTCTGAATCCAAGCGGCATTTGCCCCCTGCGTACACACACGTCTGCATTTCACGTTGTGCATCTCCTTCATGCCCAGCGCTCGTAACGCAGCCCGCGCGACGAGACGTCTTCATCACGCGGGAAAGTCTCGCCAAAGTCTTCTTTCGGACAGGTTTTTTTTTACAAACAGGCTGCTGCTTTGCGGTGTTTGGCCAATTCCTTTTATGTCGTCCCGAGCTTTTTGTTTAATGTAAGAAAAAAACAGTATCGCCCTTGCCATTACAAACAATCTTGGTCGAGATAACATCCACTGCTAGTCCTGCCAGATCCACAAAATAAAAACCGCCATTAAATACTGCACACGGGGGAGAGACATCGTGAATGTTCGTCGTTAATTCGCGCCCACTGAATTAAAATTGGCTAACGAATGAGCCACCGGTACCGCCGCTCATCAATTTACGCGTCTCCGAGTACCGACCGTCCGTCCGTCCGTCCGCGTGCCGGCAACAACGTTGTTAAGTTCCCGAGCCATCGTAAAATAAAAGTTAGCGAGCCATTGCGAAAAAAAAAGAAAAAAAAAACGCTGAGTGAAGAGACAAGGGATGGAGAGAATTTTTTTTTTTAAATCCACGTCGCATTTTTAATAACGTCGTTTAATTTCTTGGTGCCAACACTTTAGCTCGACGTGTCTGAGCGCAATTACTCAGTAATAACTTTTTCTCACGGCGTTTTCGGAAGTTTAATTGAAACATTTTCAAGCGAACGAACAGTTCCGTCTTCAACATGGAGATCGTGCGCTAATGGGGGGGGGGGGGAAATCCAACACCAAGAAATCTCTCAATCTGTTCTGCGCAGAAAGAAAAAAAGATAAAACTTTTTTTTAAAGCAATCTCCAAAAAAACAAAGCTTTGACGGCTTCGCGACGTAACAGCGTTATTAACGCTCGCGCCGTTTAAATTAAAACTCCCGCGGAATCGCGACGGACAGAGCCCCCCCCCACCCCCCCCCCCCCCCCTCTTCGTGTTCGAAAGTGGCAGTCGGCGAGGTTTTTGAGAACGGCGTGCAATTCACCCGGGCACACACTTTATAATTACAGCGCCGATTGTGCCTATCGATGTGAATGAAATAAATAAATCCATCGAACCGCGGAGGAAAAGGAGAAACAAAAAAAAGGTCTCTTCTCTCCGTCTCTATCGGCCCGAGCCGCTTTCCAGACGCCCGTTCACCAGCGGCAACTGTTCACGCGTGCCTGCTCCATCTCGTTAACACAGTTTAACACACTTTGCTCCCAAAGACAAAGATTCCACCCCCACCCCTCCCCTCCACGTGTAACCTACAGAGACTTTTGGGGCTGAAGTATGGTCAGTACCATGCCCGGCTGTCTCTGTTCTCCCCAGCGCTGATGCTCACAGACCACACAGGGTATGGCGGGGCCCAGAACCGCTTCCGATAGGGCTTCTAGACCCTGGTTGCGAGTCGAACTCGGGTGGCAAGATTCATTGCACAGTATGCTAACCACTGCATCACTATTCTTTGGTTCTTTCGGTAAAGTCACGTAGGTATATCTATTATATTTCCACCTACGTGACTTTACCGAAAGAACCAAAGAGTATGGATTCCTGCAGGCAAGAAAGCTTCAAATCAACACTGCATCACTCCCAATGGTGCATACAAAACAGACTGTTGGGGCAAGTGTTGTTCACGAGCACGACACACGAAGGGGGTGGGTGGCCAACACCACACCCGGCCATCTTTGTAGCAGGTACTCATTTATGGCTGAGTTGATGCAGGGGAGGACCAGTGCAAAATATTCGTCAATGTTGTTGGTTGTGAGCGGGAATCGAACTCAAGTCGCCGTATAGCCTTAACAGACTTTTGGGGTAAGTGTTGTTCGCAAATAGTAGCACCTATGAAAGTTCGCACAGCAGACGAAGAGGGGCGGAGGGGGGGTGTCCAACACCACGCCCGGCCGCCTTTGTCTCCCTAGCGGTGACGTTTACACACCCGACGGGCACCAGGACACGCGAGGGCGCGCCACACTGGGACAATCGCGGTGTTTGTGGAAAACTACCACTGCGGCGGCGGCGGCCACGTGTGCCAGCGCAATGTCAGCGGGCACACAAGGGGGCCCACTCTCTCTCACCATGCTCCCGGTGCTGAGATTCCAGCCCCCCCACACACCCCCCCCCCCTCCCCGGGGCGGTCATTGGCAAAGTGGCGAAACGTGAACCACCGTAAAGAAAAACAAATGGTTTAAGAATTATGAATGACAACAAAAAAATCACAAATCTATCAAAAGCTCCCGCGGACATGGCATGCAACGTATAAAAATAAGATAATTGATTCACTGTTTTTAAGACGGTATATACCCGGCCACGGTATATTAGAGGCGTTCGGTTTTAATCAAACGTATTAATGGTAGGATTTTACGGTGTGCCAAACCAAACACGGCGCTGTAAGAGAAAGGGCGGCGTTGTTAGGTGAATGGAGGCTTCTCTGGCCCGCGCTGAGGCCACGCACATTTAGGGACTGGGCCATGACCCCCTGCAACACAATGGCCAACTCCTGTGAATGGTGTCACATGATCCTTGATGTCCACTCGGCACAATTCAGCCCCATCCCTAAATCAACCGCCCCACCCACCTTAACCACCCCAACCACCCCACCCACCCCACCCACCTGAACCACCCCAACCACCCCAAAAGCCCCACCCACCTTAGCCACCCCAACCGCCCTAACAGCCCCACCCACCTTAACCACCCCAACAGCCCCACCCACCTTAACCACCCCAACCACCCCAACAGCCCCACCCACCTTAACCACCCCAACAGCCCTAACAGCCCCACCCACCTTAACCACCCCAACAGCCCCACCCACCTTAACCACCCCAACAGCCCCATCCACCTTAACCACCCCACCTGCCTCAACCACCTTAACCACTCCAACAACGCCAACAACCCCAACAGCCCCATCTACCTTAACCACCCCAACCACGCTAACCACCTTAACCACCTTAACCACCTCCACCACCCCACCCGCCCCAACCACCTTAACCACTCCACCTGCCCCAACAACCTCAACCACCCCTTCCGCCCCAACCGCCCCATCCGCCTCAACCGCCCTATCCGCCTCAACCGCCCCATCCGCCTCAACCGCCCCATCCGCCTCAACCGCCCCATCCGCCCCTAACAGCCCCACCCACCTTAACCAACCCAACCGCCCCAACCGCCCCAACTGCCCCATCACCCCAACCGCCCCACCGCCCCACCACCCCACCCGCCCCAACCGCCCCAACTGCCCCACTGTCCAAACCGCCCCAACCGCCGGATTCCATTAATTTCAACAATTTGAACGTGGATAATTTTGTTGTCTTTTTTTTTAACCATCTCATTTGTATTGTCTCAAATAGCCTCTGTTCCGTTTGCACAGTTTAGGGTGAATGTAACGTAGGTATTTAAATTGAATTCGTCGTAAAGGTCTAATTCGCAAGTGCACGATTAAGCGCGTGCATCGTGAGCATAAAAATCTGTTTGAATCATGGATGAAACTATATCGTCACATCTGTGTTGTTCACTTCACAGCAGCGGGCGAGTTTGGATAATGAGAGCTGTACTCGGTTACGGAGGAATCGGACATCATTGGCGGTTATGAAGGCTGTGGAACTCAGGAATTACCGCGCGGCTGTAAGCAAGGACCGAAATGCCGAGGCAGGACACATCAACGAACCGATCGTTCCATTTTATTTTTTAAACCACAACACAAAGAAAGGATCGTGCAGACATTTTAAAAATGCTGCTCGCTACACAAAGAGATATGTAGCAGGCTGAGGCCACATCTCTGAAGGGAGGGCTCAAGGCAACGGTTGAACAAAAAAAATAACAACAATATGAAGAAGAGGCACTAGAGACACAACAACACG